TATGGAAAGAGAACCAGAATCAGAAGCTATTAGGAGATCGTTGGTGACTTTGACAAGGGCGGTTTCTGTGCTGTGAAGTTGACGGAAGCCAGATTGGAGGGGTTCGAAAAGGTTGTTTGTCATGAGGTGGTTATGTAACTGAAGTGTGACAGCATGTTCTAGAATTTTAGAGAGAGGAGGTAAGTTGTAGATGGGGTGAAAGTTGTTAAGATTGTCGAGAGCCATGTTAGGCTTCTTTGGCACGGGGGTAATAGCAGCAGTTTTTGAGGACCGTTGGTACAATGTCGGTGCTCAAGGATTCATGTGTTATATTGAGGACAATGGGACAGAAAGAAGAGAAACAGGACTGGAATAAAGTGGTGGGAATGGGATCTAAAATAGATGTGGTGGGTTTCATGCACGTAACTAGTTTGTTTAGGGAAGCTGAGTCAAGAAGAGAGAAGCTGACGAGACGGGAACCAGAGAAGTTGGATGAGGAGGGAGGAGGTATGGTGCTCACATGTTTGCATTACAGTGGAGCAGTAACAATGTGTCTGCTTGCCAAGGGGCCATCTCTGGGTTAATTTGGCCCGACTTCTGATAGAAACCTTATTGATTGGTCTTGAAAGGCTCCATTTACATATTTGTAATATAATAAGCATAGATAAGTGATAAGAGTGACAATCTGATATCAAAAGCAGATATACAGAAAATACATTTTCATTTTTGCTATACCTATACTGTATATCACAGTTTTCCAGTTGCTAAAGTCCCAGTTCTTGATACTTTTATGATTATTTTGGCCACAATATTACAGTCTTGAGAATGCAATTCATTTTGCATAAATCTGTACCTACATATCTATTACCTTCCTTAGGTTGTGGAAATTAGCTTATATTACATTATTAAAACACTAATATTTTTTGTTAGGAATACAGAATGATAAATTTAGTACAAAGGATGCACCAGTTATTTATTATTTAATGATGATCCACTTTTGTACAGCTTTAAATGAGACGATAATGTACTAAGTGTTTTTATGAAGAGAATGTTTAATAGAAAACTTGTTTACAGAGTCATTCCTACATATGAAAAATGAGCATGTGTTAATATTTTCTTTAAAAAATATTGAGCCAACTTTCCTTCTGATCCACATATTAGTAAAAGTGAGGAACTCAGTCTTTTAGACCTTTTGCTTTTGCTTCTAAAAGAAGAAACCAAATCCAGTTCTGGCACATCCTTGACCCCTGACACCCTTTTAAAATATATTTTGCCTGTCCTGTTACATTTACCAGAACAGCAATTGCTGAAGTAGTAAAATTAAGTTAATTGATGAAGTAATGTGCATGCCATGAGGTCTATGTAACCATAATTTCTGATATGACACAGAGTAACCAAGAAATAAAATCACTTCAAATCATATTATGAGGAAAATAAATCAATTTCGAGAAGAAATTCTAAGTGGCATATTGTACGATGATATGAAAATCAAGTACTATTTTGTACCAATCTGACTCTTTGTTTAGATTTTATTTTTATGTTTTGCTAGTTCTGTATATTACCTAGTTATTTGAAATTTATTAGAAAAATCACTCCGTTAGGACTTCACTCAATGTAAATGTTGCAAACTTGACTTATTGCAGACAATTCCATTGATCTTTTGAAACATGCTCCAAAATACTAACAGAACACCAGTGCACATCAACACACAGCAAATTTGATTGTACCGTATTTTTTAATTAGCGGCTTCTAATTTTTTTTATTTTATTGTTTGTCATATTACTTTCAGTGTTATTTTTCTCCAAGTTGATCAGATACCTTTCACAAAACGATTTGCATTGTACCACTGCAGTGAACAGTACATGCACACAAGTCAAAGAGCCTTAAATCTTGTTGTTATGGTGAACTTGTTTGTCCTCCTTATTTTGTAAAATTACTCCAATGGATATTTTTTTCACAAATCTCAGCATAGCAAACAATTGTAGAATATTAAATGATATCACTGGTGACAAAAAGCAACACCAATTCAAGAACAAGAAAACTGTAGGAAAACAGTAACAACGTATTTAAAGCATACATCTATAAGTTTAGATCTATCTATGTTCTAACCACTTTATCCGATAAAAGGTCGTGTGGGAGCCAGAGCCTATCCCAGCAGACAATGAGAACAAAAGGTAGGATACATCCTGCCCTGGACAGGATTCCAGTCATTGGCAGAACAAACACAGGCATGCTCTCACCTGGCTCTCACCAGAGCCAGTTTTCCCAGAAACCAATTAACCTACCAGTATGTCTGTGGACTGTGGGAGGAAAACTGAAGTACCCGGAGGAAACACATGAACATGGAAAAACATAAACTCCACAAAGATACTAGCTCAGGAATTGAACCCATGGTCCCAATACTGCAAGGCAGCAATTCTAATCACTGTGCCACCATGCCACCCAAATTTAGATGCAGTGTTTTCCAAAAGTATTCACTTGGAGTTTTCACAATTTGTTGCTTGAAACCTTGCAGACATGACACCTTGAAGCAGCAATTCAAAGCTAAAGAAGAAAGTGATTATATAATTATTCATAATTATAAATGATAAAGTCACAAGAGCACAAATATTATAACCTCTTGCTGTGTCAAATTAAATTAAATTAGCTACACTAAATTACCTTAATGGGCCACAGACACAATTTTCAAATTAATATAATACAAATTATGTCAGGAATACAGTCACTGAAATGCAAACGTAGGGGGAAGGGAACACAAAATATTAAAGGTCTCTGAATATCCTGAGATGGATGAAAATTAGCATTATTCAGTAATATTCAGAATATTTCAGAAAATTATCCTGTATGGCAAGATAGCAAAAAAAAAAGAAGCCTTACTAAAAATTAGCCTGTAATAAATTTACAACAAAGCACCTAGGTGATCCTCTAAAAATGGTGCTGTAGTCAAATGAGAGTAAACCAAAGCCCCTCAGTGTAAATGCAAAGTGTTACATCAGATGCAAACCCAACATAGTGCATTATTTACCCAACACCATCCCTACTCACAAACATGGTGATGGCAGCACTATGTTATAATTCTGCTTCTCATCAGGAGGGACTGGGAAGGTTTTCAAGACTGATGGGAACATGAAGCAAAGTACTGGCAAATCTTAGAGGAAAAACATGCTTCACACCTAAAACCAGGACAAAAATGAATCATTCAGCTGGACAATGACCTAAAACACAAGACTAAAGCTATTCTATACTGAGTAGCTTAAAAATGGGAAAATGAATGTCCTTAAATGATCCTGTCCTGACTTGATTCCTATTGGAAATCTGTAGAAAGATGTGAAGACTGCTATCCATAGATCATCCCAAAGCAACTTGAGAGAGCTTGAGCAAATCTGGTTATAGTGGGGAATGGGGAACAAACTGCAGTAAACCAGTCTGCAAAGTTGGTGGATAAATATCTCAGTTTTTGTTAGTTTTGTCTGGCTTTTTAGTAGCTTTATTTTACCCTTTGAAGTCTTCAGTTTAAGTAATCAGGTTTTGAATTAAATTTATAAAAATCTGAAGGTACAATTTTGTAATTGCACACTATGAGACACCATAGGAAGGGTCTGAATACTTTTGCAAAGGTACTGTATATATTACTCCAAAATACAGGTGACACATACCGTATGAATGCAGTACAAACTGCACTTCTTAGACACAAATGTGTCTTTAATCATAAATTCATTAAGTGTGAAGGAAACAAAGCAAATATTTTCTTTATAATGTCATGTTCCACTCAGTGCCACTCACAAATCAAGCATTGCAAACTATGTGAAATGTGTTTTTTTTAGAATGCCTTCAGTAAATCTTTTCAGGATAAAATTGAATTGTTGCCTCCAGTCCAAGAAGACATCCCTAGATTAAGGAGAGCTGTTTGACTGCACTGATATACCTGTTTGCAGAGAGCTAGGAACCTTGTGCTCTAAGGCTTCTGTCAACAATGATAAGTTATTCAAATAGATAAATACAGTTATCCCTTGCTTTACTGAACTGGAAATCTAAAAGTAAGATTTGGCAAACCACTTGTATTATATAATTATGGATAACAACCCTTATGAGCTCCAGCATTTAGCCCTCAGTAAAGCAACCTTAGTGTAGTCTGGGAATATAAAGTCCCCTTTTCCACAAAAAGACAACGTTTTTAGTAAATCTCAAGCAAGTCATGATTATTGGGTGATTTGAAAGCTTTGACTTTTTAGATTGCAACTCCTTTTCAACATGCATGATTTTTTTTCCCCAAAAAACAATAATTAGTTAAACTTCTAAGAGATACTGTAATTGCTATAAAGGGGAATCCCCTCACAGTAAACTTAAAAGGGTTCTGAGTGTAGACAGAGAAGACAAATCCACAACCTCATGAAAAACAAGTTTATCTTTCTTATTATAATTAACAGGAAAATCAAAACATGTTAGATATTAGTGATTTCAAAGGAGTTTGTGATAGGAAAAGCAAATGTCCAACCCTCCATTATGGAGCAAAATAAACTTTAGAGTCTTTTGTTTTGAAGTAAACACTCAAAAAGAAGTTAAATATAGGATGGAAAATATATTCATGCCTAAATAGCAATATTGTAATATGTGTACTGCATTACTGTCAACCCTGAAAAATATACTTTTTACATATATTTGTTCAATCTGAATTTGACCACTAGAATATGCTTTGATTTATGGAGAATACAGACGCAGAGATTAGTATTTTAAAAACTATAAACAAAATGCTCATTACATAAACCTTTTTCAAAATAAAAATAGAATACTGCAAATGGTGAGTGTGCACCTTTAAGTAGAAATACAAATAAAAACAATATCTAGTCACTCAGTCACAGCATCAAAGTCTGTGAACACAGAATCCTTTTATTATGCAAGACAGTAATCTCTTAAATTCGTGAAGTAAACTGAGACCTTCTTACGATAGACTTATCAATTTCTTTCACCGTAGTGCAGCCTAAAGAAAAAAGAAAAAAAAAAGCAGTTATAAATCTATGATTCATGTACAGTTAACTAAAGACTCCTTGACAGATTGATGTGAATAATAGAAGTGATTATAAAAAAGCATTATCCTAACATGTATGAAGCTCTTGGCAAGCATAAAGAAATATTATAGAATGCAACACCTCTGTTCCTGTGATTGACAATAAGTAACCAAATGATATGAGTAACAAGGTAATCCATGCGTCAGTATGTCTCATTTTTGGGTTCCACTGAAGTGTACTAAATTTCAATGCACTGTAATATACAGTATGCAGAGCTAGGGCCATCTGTATTTTCTTTATGAGTAGTAATTCTATTAGTATAGGCACTAAATAATTGGAAATTCTAAATCTGGGTCTTAGCAGAGTTTAAGAATGCTAGTTTATTCAGACATGAAGGGTATAGTGTCATATGGAATATGGTTAAAATAAATCAATAATGACTTCACCCAGAGAAAGAACATGGTGGTGTTATTTCCTCCAAAGAGTATGCAGAGATGTTTACAAATATTGTTGCAGTTTTAAAAGACCCACTTCATAAATGTATTATAATTCTACTTCTACATTGAATTATTGAATTACACAATTTTGTTACAACATGTGAAGAATTCTACTTGTGTAATCTTGCCAAGTACTGTACTTGATTGTACAATAGCTGAGTTTCCATGTGTGCATTTTTTCACTCCAGCCTTGGTCAGGCTGAATTGAGCTTATCTTCATTTACGTGAAAACCTGAGAACAGACACTTTTGTTACAACATCATGCATTTGTCATTTACATTAAGAATATTTAGCATTTCTAGAATGGTATGTACTGTACAATATATAGGTCACGCAAGGGCACAAATTGGCGTGCTATACAGTACCTACATTATAGGAATCAGTTTTAAGTAGTAGAACTGATTCCAGGACACCCTTGTTCTTGTTTGCGAATACAGTATGTGTGAGTGTCCTCATGGTTGAAACCGTGTACAAACCGTAACATTTCATTATGAATAAACCCAAGGGGAAAGTCAGTCTGTGTGCATTTCACAGAGTTGCACATTGTCAGGAACACTAAACCCACAATGCCAGCAATCCTATCGATAGCTTGTAGGCACTGTACTGTCATTGCAAATGTAGCAGGTTGTTCATACATATGATATGATTGTTGCTATTTCGTAATTACGAGATAATCTGTTATCTCATAATTCCGAGATAATTTGGTATCTTGTAAATACAAGATAACTCAGGAATCTTTTTTTTTACTTGGTGGCAGCAATGCACTTCCATACATTTCACTGTCTGCTCAGAAACATACTAATGACTCTTTATGGTTTCTTAATGGTACTTGATAAACAAAAAACAAATAAAAAATGACATAGTTATTTTTTATTGAAGACGTTCACTAACATATCACTAACTGTCTGATCTTCCCATTGTAAGATACATTAAATGGCTTGGCAAAATACATTTTCGGTAATTCTTTCAATTGTATCACAGAACATTGTGACTTAATTAAATGGTGCATTTGAAAGATAGGGATCAGAGGTGTTTCACATTTGTAAAAAATAACCACCACACAGAATTTACAAATTCCAAATTGTTTTGGAATTTATGGAATTTCCTTTCATAGGTATCAGACTACTACTACCGCTAATAATAATACCTAACATTTACATAGTGATTTTCATCCAAAAGTATCCTAAAATACTGTAACGCAACGGGGGCTCAGGGGGGCGCCCTTGCCGCATCTGGTCGGCCCCATCCCGACTGGAGGCTCGAACCCGGGACTTCCGCGTCTCTCTGCAGCGACCTAGCCCCGTGATCTAAAGAGAGATCTCTCCACAGCCCAGTAGCTGTAGTCCTGCTATCACAAGGAAGGGCGGTGACGTCACCCGCTCTGGTACGCCGGCTCTTACACACAGTGCTTGTCGGCCGTAAGCGTTACAATACTTTACTTATAGAAGGGGACTCACTAAAAATGAAATGCAGCACCCATTTATGTACGTACAGAGCAGATCATACAGAGGAGTGAGAAATTGCTTCATAATTGAATGAAGGTGAAACAGAACTGTGTCTCCTTTTACCACATTTGTGCATTAATAAGACATTGTAAGCCGGGAGAACAAGTTCCACCTACTAGTCTACCAACACTAATAACAGTAACCTTGTTTTCATTTTGAGACCTCCAATCCCAAGTATTAACCAGTGTCCATTTTGACACTAACTTGTTTAGTTCACAAGAGCAGGCTACAAGGAGGTTAGGTGCCTGTTGACGTATTAACAGAATATTCTTGCACTCTGCTTATATTATGCCAGTGTGAACATTTTCTCTGCAGATGAAAATGTGCTGTTATATTTTGACAAGTGGGAAAGGAAATTAATTATGAAATGTAGATTGAGTACGTCAATTGGGACTACAGAATTCTAGGATTTCAACAAAAATAATTGATTTTATTTGTAACATATTGTTTTTAAATTCTATCACATTATCCAAAACAAATAAAAGCTACTTAAGTGATTTATTTGGGGATCTCAGTGTTGTGTTAATTTACAAAACATGACACATTAGTCTCAAACTCACCTACAAGTGCAACTGCTAAGCGCAGTTCTTCTCTCAGCAATTCAAGAACTTCACTTACTCCTTTTTCACCCTGTGTGCAGAAGAAGATATGTGTGATTTGCTTTCAAATGCTTTACTCCTAGAAAGAATATCACAAATGGCATGTCATTACCATTCCATTTAGACATGAATTGTAAACACCGCACCTGACAGGCTAATCCCCAGAGAATAGGGCGTCCAATGAACACTGCTTTGGCACCCAGTGCCAAAGCTTTGAGGACATCTGTGCCTCTACGTATCCCTCCATCCAAGAAGACTTCCACTTTTCCTCCAACAGCTTCAACAATTTCAGGAAGGACGTCAATCTGCTTGGACACATGGAAAATTATGCTACGTATGGTTAGACTTAACAATGCTTTCATATTTTGAGCAGGAAACTGCTTGTTTTACCTACATTGCAGAGAATTATTGCAGGGTAATAGAAAAACACAGTGTTAATCAATGCACAGACCAGAAGGGGTAAGGCAGATAATGGCAAGATTATAAGTCACTTGTGAATGTGATTAGTTAGGAATTGCACAGTCTTCTAACTACGGTTTTGCAGCCCGCACCTCCTGCAGTTAAAGGAGCAAATTAAATAAAAACCCACACCTGAGTGATAATTAAGCACATTACAGCACATTACACTCTGCTTTTCATGTGGTTTTGCTGATACTTACAGTTGCAGGCACACAATCCAGCTGCCGAGCACCATGGTTTGACACAACTATTCCATCAACACCATATTTAAGAGCTTCTCGCGCATCATCAACTAGAGGAGTAAGAGATTCAGCGTTTCAGAAATTACACTTAATTATGACTACCATGATGGAAATTATAGTATCTCAGAAGACTTTTTTTTGTATGTTTGTGCTCTCTGAACTTCCAAACGGACTGAAAATGAAAAAATGCAGTGGAAAATCTCCAGTCGTGCTGATGCTTGTTTCAGATCTAATTGAATGTTATTTTACACACATAAATGCAGTCAGTAGCATTTTGAGTTACAACAAAGACATGTTGGAGGAGAGTTGTATGGTGCGGACATTCCAATTAACTAAAATTAAAAGGTTTAGTTAAAAAAGTTAAAAGTCAAGAGGAAAAGTGAACGGCAAATTTGGACAAGATGCAACACCACACTAATTTTCAATAACCCCTGTTTCATACTTCCATGTGTATTGATGGAATTCCCAAACTTGACCCACGCATATTAAATACGTTAAGTAAAATACACAGTAACAGTTTAGTTTAAATAGCTAGTACCTCGAAATATTGCTTTAAAGATGCAAAAATGTATCTCCAATAAGTTAAGAAGGTTTTCCATCACCTGCTATATTGTTTTTCACAATCCTGACTCTCTATTGACATTCAAATCAACACTGTGTCACTCAAGGGCATATCTTTATCAGATATGAATAGCAACCATTATTTTAAAATACCCACAATTACCAGATTTATCATATCAAAATAGTCTCACACTCTGTCCGGTCATAAAATGTTTAATGGTGTACCTTTACTGCTATTGAAAATTTCTTGTAGTTCCTCTGCTGTAAATAAGCCATTTATAAATAGAATTAAAATGTTATATATTTAATTCAATATAATAAATCTGTAACTCTTTGCAAGACGGATTGAATCTGTCTTCAGTCCTATATTTTGCTGCAAAAGCTATGAGGTAAAATACTGCTGCTGGCACGGATAACTTTGTAATTGAAGTTGTATTACAGTAGCCGTTTTGTCCACATGGCTTTTCAAAATGTACAATATGTAGAGATGTAATATCCATTTCGAAATAGTATTATATCTGACATATGGAAATCACTGAGTAAGAAATGCTTGACAGTGCTTGACTGGGGCTGCATCGTTGTATACCTGATGAAGAGAACTTGATGAAAAGTTTTATTCATATCTGCTTTTTCCATGAAGGCAAAGAAAGAAGAAAAAATGACTTGGCTGTTCTTAACGGAAAGTCAAGATCTACAAGCAAGTACAGAGATAATTGAAAGTACATACTACTTTTACACATCACTCTTTATTTTCTTAACATTTTTACTACACAAACCTCAGAATGGTAACATTATTTTATAGTCATTAATGGAAACATCCAGAACTGACAAGCCTTGGGTTTTGACTTGACTTAGATTAATTAGATTACTTTTTATATTCTATCTAAGGGCACAGACTAGCTCATTGCTGGAAGTGGCACAAGTCACTCCTGTGCCTGTAAACATGGTTTTCTAATTAAGTTTTCAAAACAAAGCTAATCATTAATAATTTCTAATACTGTATGTATTTAGAATTTCTAATGCCTTCAAAGGCATCTGTTTTTCAATTTTATTTTTTGTATGATCCGTCTCCTACTGAGAATGTGATTCACTGCTGTTTCCACTTAAATTTTAACTAGTATACTGTTCTTCAAGGTCAGTAAGCATATCACTGTGGCCCAGACTTCTATACAATGCTACCTTGCTTCCCCAGCAAATCTGTAAGCGATAAGGTTCAACAGAAGGTATTTTGTTCAGCAAGGCACGTATCAAATTAATGTTAATTTAACTGTTTAAGGGCAATGGTTACCATGGAAAATCTTTTTTTTTATGTTCAGATGAATACATGGTACAGTATTCATTTTTCAGTATGGCTAATTTGTCATCACAAAGTACTGCTTTGGAAAAAAAAAAACATACTCCAGCCATTTCCATAAGAAGTGACCCTATGGTAGTCTTGGAATCACAGTAGGTTTACAGCAGATCTGTCAACAATGCTAACTGGTAAAACTCTCAAACGACTAAGATAAAAAACTAGTTTCTTTACATGTTACTAATCTACTGTGATCTTCAAGATATTATATAGTATGATAATGCATGACATTATTTATGTTTCTGTGCTTGAAATCATCAAGTAATAAAAAATAGGGGGATCATATCACAAAAATTAAATAACATGAAAAATAAGATTAAACTGTTTTATGATATATTGTAATGTGTTATCACCACTAATAGGGGTAAAAAGGAAGCAATGCCTGAGATCTACAGTACCTGTTGCCTAGGAGGATTGTACCAATACAAACCAACATATGTCTCTATGGCAACAATTTATCTAGGAGGCATACCTATTGCATTGTGCAAGGAAATAACAGATAACCCAGGTTCCTATGGGTGTTATTTGTAGATCTTATTTGGACCATAGAAAGAAACTAACTCATGAGTGGCTCAAATTAGAGCAGGTAAAGGCTTCAGTAAATGTAAGTACAGTACATTTTGGAAAGACAGAAGAACCAAAGATGTCTCTGTATCTAGAACAAGTCAGCTTTGCAGTAAAGAGGAGGTTAATTAAACACTGCTATACTTATGCTATGAGTAGTAATAACTGCTATGAGTTAAACTCATGTGAATTACTTGATGAGTGTTCATCATGTTACTTTTTACCGAAATCCTTCCAGTTACATTTCGCAGTAAATGTTTCAGTAAAATCCTAAAATATGTGTATGGTTAAACAAGAGATTGGCATGGTTGTCTGTTACTCTGTTAACTATACTGTAGGTCTGGGAATGAGTACATGCAACAGAAACACTAAGGTTTAAAACAAGCAGCAGTTCCCTTAAGTCTTTATCAGACAGCATGCATAGAATATTTGTTGCTTTCATATCTTGAAAGTATGGTCACTTGTGCTCACCTCTTAAAATTCCTTTCACCACTACTGGTAAAGTAGTTAATTTTTTCAGCCACACAATATCTTCCCATTTCAGCGTAGGATCTATTGCCTGTGTTACATAAACAGCCAACCCACTATCTTCCTTATAGCTTTCCTTTGAAGAAAATGCCAAATCGGGGGACTCAAAATTGGCCATCCTGAAGAAGAAAATCAACACAGCATGATTACAAAATTAAATTAGACTGAATTTGTTATTGTTTTTTTTGGAGAGCAATCCAGGAACACCTTTTCCAAATATCACCCCTCTCTCTTCAATAGTACCTTGTTGCCATTTTAAGTTAAGCCAAGAAAAAGATATTCAAAAGGTTAAGAAGTTCATACTATGGTACGCATTTTCTTCAGTACAAATGGGATACCTTTCAAAACTGTAGTATACCTTAAACTAAGCATGGAATTAAAAATCTCACTCTATACTTGTACTGAATTTTTTTTAGAAAATATACTGTTTCTGGATTTTGAATATTAATTCAATGTTTTTGGCATCATTTTAATAAATTAACCATTCATCACTGATCAGAATACGTTTTGAGTGACTTAGCAAGGAGTACAAGCCAAACAGAGTCCATCAATGACAGGCCACAGTCTGGATCATCTTGCCAAGATCAATAGAGAGGCAGTAATATGTTGGTCTGAACATAAATGTCTAGTTTCTATAAAAGTCCACTTGATAGCAACTTGACTGCATTACGCTACATTGATCAGGTCCTGGGATCTCACCTGCTCCCCTGTGACATGACATACTGGAGTGTCATGAAAACAATCTTGCAGAACAGCAAAGGCCCTTAAGCTGCTCATGTAACAACAGCTTTCTTAATGGGTGTTCATGAAAACATGACCGATAAGCCATGATTGACATGTCCTACTTGCCAGGTTCGAGCGCCATTCAACATATGTTGGAAGAGATGAGATGATGTGAGGTATTTAAGGCTCAAAGACTTGTGAAGAGAAACATGCTGTCAAGGCTCTATGAGAGGGTTAGGACAGCCAGCATCAGCACACGGTGCAAATATTTAAACATGCATTGCAGATGCTTACAATTTCTAGTTGCCTCTAGGACAACTAGCCTGTGCCCTTTACAAATAAATGCTCTGTTGATCAATATTTTATGACAAATTAATCAATAAAATGTTTTGACCAATTTTGTGTCTGTTCAATAAAAAGTAAATGCTACATTTCCCTGATAATTTTCTTATGAATCTGATGCAAAGTGCCAAATCATCTTTTGATGTATCCTTAGTATATCATGTAGGCCATCAACACACTGGCATTGAATAAATATATTAAGGAATGGACATGTATTTAATACATAAAAACAATTATTCTGTATACTCATAATCACACTATTCATTTTAAGCCACAATATCGAGCTTATCACCTGTTTTGGCTCTTACATATACTGTATATTATATGTACAGTAAACTGGATGCTTATGGCTTATAAGAAATTATTTTGGTTTTGTCATCCAAAGGCAATGATACACCTTTACAAAATGAAACAATAATAGAAGTATTGTAATGCTAGGTTCTGAAACTGCCAACAAATTTGACAGCAGGAAGAGGGTGAGTTAACTCTGACATAAGAACACTTCAAAGATAGGTTCAGCTGTTACTGTATTTATAAGACGTCAAGGCTTTTCTGTATAAAATGTATTCAAATAAGAACTGGCTTTTCTGATGAATTTTCTTGGTTCCTATTAAGCTTCAAGAGTGACAACTAATCTTTGAGGTGGATAAACCATTTCAGCATGAGCTTGTTTCCATAAATACATAAAACACTTTTGCAGATGTTCAGCTTCAGTTTGTGTTCCAAACAAGCAATGTACAAGAAAAGTTTTAAATATCTAATTTATTACTTTTATGATTTTGGTCAAGACCGAACATATTAAAAAATACTTTCTTTTCTGGCCTCCTTTGCTTATGAAATACTTCAGGAATATATTCCTTTTACTCCAAATCATAATATTTGCTGATATATTATACAGTCTGTTTTTATCATGCTTTCCCTCTATGTTTATTTTCTGAAAAAATCCAGCTGTGGCTGCGATGACATATATTTTCTGCTGTCCACTACGTATCATTTTCTCCCGTCAGTTTTAAAAATATGCATCCCAAATATTTAATATACTGAAAATGCTACAGTTTTTTTTAAAAAAGCTCTTTCCCATTCAGTAATTGAATTATCCAATGCCTCACACTGGAAAAACACTTTAGTTCTGGCTTTGTTTGTGCTTACTTCAGATGAGGTGTGAGCTTAAACCTGTTGCGCACATCATTCCGTCGTCTCCCTAGGTACGGTGTATCCACAGTGACAAAAATCCCCTTATATCCTGCGCTTTCAGCTCGCTTTACTAAAGATTTGGTTAGCTCTCTGTCTTTGTAAATGTAAAGCTGCAGCCAGCGAACACCATCTGGGGCATTCTGTGCCACTTCTTCGATACTGGAGGTTGCCCAGGAGCTCAGCATCATTCCTGTGCCAGAAGACCTGCATGCTGAGAAAAGAGACAATGACTAACTATTTTTACAACATCTTATCATGTTAACAAATAAGCCTATAGACAGATAATGTGATGGACATCAAATATAAAACATCCTATTTTCACTAAGTGTGATAGTGCTGAAGTATTTAGTCCCAAATAAGTGAATACAATCAGCCTGCCATTTGTTTTTAAATAGTTGTGTAATACTGTACATTGTATTGGTTGAATGTATAATGAAAAAAAAAGTTGTTGTTTTTTTTAATTTTATTGATTCTTTTTTTTCTGTGTGGGTTAAATCCTGGTTAAAATATTTACATATCTCCACTTTTCCCATCACAAATTACAATCATCTATACTCATTTTAGAGCAAACTCTTTGCTTTTCAAAAAGGAGCAAATTCAGTGAATTCCCTTAATCGAGTCAAAATATTATCTGGAAGTGAAAAGTAAAGGCTACTGTTATTGGTCCTGGAGCTCCATCTTGTGGATGTCGATTGGTATTTTGTGACCAACACAGAAGTGCAGTTCAGACAGATCCTGATATTATTGGCTGTTCAATGACTAATGGTGCAGTTAACAGACTGATGGTTTTTGAGTAACATTTTGTGTAAATATATTAATGCAACCCATATCTGATCCTTAATCATTCACAGACTTCAAACTGCCTGTTGTTCCAAGGCATAATTTAGAAAGAGTAAATAGCACATCCCAGATGCACCCATAATATGCATCTAATATAATGTATACCAACATACATAATACTGATTTTAAAGTATTAGAAAGTTTAAATTATTAACACAAAAATATAATATTTGCATTTGAGTGAAGTTATGTACTTTATGAATCAAACTAATTGAAATCCAGCTAAATCAAACTAACTTTTAGAGGCAAAGTGAGTGAAGCAGATGCGCACTAAGGAAAATATCAAGTAAAAAGAGCCATAAAGAAGGGGCTCTGCAACTGCTGTACCTTTCGCAGTCGCTGTTTCCCCAGCGGGATGTGCCATTCGCTGCATGGCAGTGGCAGCTACACAGACTGGCATACTGAGCTGCTGTCCCAGGACTGACACTGACAGGTCTACTCGAGACACATCCCTGAGCACATGTGGATACAGCTTCCATCTTCAAAACAAGATGATATTATTACCATCACTGTTGTTGTTTAGAACTGGATTCCAACCAAGACAGAGAACTCATGCTGCATTTCACAGGTAATGTGGTTTCTTCATTGACTGAGCCCCTCTGACTTCCACTAGAAGGAGCTTCTTAACAACAAATGTTGTTGAACCTGTAAAAGCTTTCACATTCCAAAGAATGCAAAACGTTAAAAGTATGCTAATCTGTTAGATTACTCAGCGTGGAATTGCATACTTTTGCTTTAAAGCAAGCCAATCAGAACAAAACCAGAAATGTCTGTTCAACTCTTCATGCACATGCATCACAAAAAGCTGTAGATGGTTTATTGTTGTGAAGGTTACTGTGCAGAGTAAGGAGAACAACAACATTTCTATATATTCCCAGGCCATATACAGTAGTTGTTTAAAAATCTTAAAAGATAAACAAGATATAAAAAACATTCTTTCTGCCTCAATGATACTTGTGTCTTTCTAGATAGTAAATGCCATTTATTGTTGACAATACTGGCAGAGCTTAACTGTGTACAACTATAGAATGTTGTTTTGAAAACAGTATAGTAACTATAATAATGTAAAAACTTATTTTCATATTTCTTTCAGCCTGTTAGACTGAATTTATGATGAAAGAAGTTAAGGAATTAATATAATGATATATTATTAATGCTAATTTTCTTAGCTTGATTACTTTAAAACACATTCAAGTCAATGGGGTTAGCATCCATACATTTACAGCGCTATAAATAAGCTGATGATGTAGTCAGGACCTCAGTTTAACATCTCAACCAAAGGACAGCACTTCTTTCAGCACAGAGTGCTCTGTAACCATACTGTTAATGGTTAATGGTTTTGAAATTCTGGTCCAGATAGAAAAGTGCTACCTACTGGTTCACCAACTACACTAAGAACAGTAATGTGCTTACTCTTAGATATTCCCTTTCTAGCACTGACCAAACCAAACCTTGCTAAGATACAAGTTAGTAATGGTGCTGTCTAAGAAAGATAAAAAATATGTCCTATAGTAGTTTGCAAAACAAACTATTTGTCTTTATATTTCTAATACATATTTGAATTGTGGTGTCAGCTGATCTCATCAAACTCCTATTTATCTCTGATAGAGTTTGGTAGCAATGTGTTTGTATATCATTTGCATGCGAGGTTGCTGTATTTTCAGCAGTGTTCTGTAATATCTCTCTGAAATTATCCCTCTAATTTAATGTGGTGGTAAAATGTAGTCCTTAATTTAAATTGACAACTGAAATCAATTATTCAAAACTGAAATTGTATAAAACGTAGTCATTAATTATTAATGTAAAATTGATTAAGAAGTTTTAGTTTATGATATTGAAACTTAAATGAAATTTAAATGAATAATTAAACTGTCAAAACATATTTTTTCATAGTCACATTTAAAGATCTGAACTGTGTTTTGTAATAAAGAATGCACAACGTGTACCATAATGTAGAGAGAATGAACTGAACTCATTCTATTAAAAATAGTGGTTAACTTGCAATTTATACAATATAATCACTGGAAAGCCTTATGGAGATCACACATAAACTTCCACTGAGGATTTTTTTTCTTCACATACAGTGCCCTCCAGATTATACAAACCACCCATCAAATAGAAACAAAAAACATCATATAACAGAAAAAAATATGAATAATGTGTTCTGCTGATAAAATGAAAACGCCATACTATAGTCATGATAGCATTGCATTGAGCAAAGTCATATTTGTCCTAAATAATTAAATCCAGAAAGCATGAGGATTTAATTTATTTAGCCCTGTAGTTAGCATTTTACAAATTGCCCCTGACGTGTTACACTGACAATTTTTAACCAGGTTTAAGCTTCTTGGCAGATTGAAACAGGTGTTTGACCAAAATTTCCAAGTCTAAACTACAGTATGTAGTTTGGAATTTTTGCTGTTATTAACAAGCACCCATTGAAGCACAACAGCAGAATATAAGAAACTGAGATGGCAGACATGTCTTTGTAAGAATGTCCACTAGAGGGAATGCATGTATAGACATAGTCTTCTCAAAATAATCAAGACAGAATGAAGAAAACACAGATGATAGAACCATCAAGGTACTGTGAACATCAAGTTTATGTCAAGTAGATGTCACATACTGTACAGTATAATCTGATGTATACAGTATTTTGAATCTATAGAGTAAAAAACATAGGATTATAATTTCATGAAAGCTGATATTCTTCCATTTAAGGGAATACAATAGGACTTATTATGGGATAAAGAATAGAATTCTGTGGAAAAATAGTCAAGATGGATTTAAGTCAACTAACGTATACAGTTCTATTTACAAGTAACAACAGTACTGGATGAAAACAAAGCATACAATACTGTATAGTGTATTTATATTTTCAGAGGGCTAATGTTCCTCATAAAAGTTTAATTCTTGCATTGCTGACAGCAAGAATTCAAGCATGAATGTATATCTAGCCTGTATATCTATGACTAATAACTGTTAATGGGTAGAAAAAATAGTGTAAAGGGTTAAATGTTCCAGCTAGAGTGCTGTAAGAAGCAAATTATTGCAGCAATCTCCAATTCAGGGTCGCAAGGGAGCTGGATCCTATCCAGGCAAGCAATGGGGCCAATGTGGAATATACCCTGGACAGGATGCCAGTCCATCACAGGGCAGACACACAGTAATGGAAGAAAAAGACACAAATATAAACATCCAGGCACTCACATCAGGGCCAGTTTTGCCAAAAGCCATTTAACCTACCAGGATATCTTTATACTGTGGGGGGACACCAGAGCACCCAGCAAAAACCATTGCAAACACAGGAAGAACATACAGTACAAATTCCAACATAGATAGCACTCTAGGTCTGGAATTCAACTGAGTGCATCCAGCACCATGTGATCCTCAGACTGAACAGTGTACTGTACTTTTACAACTGAAAACAGAAGCCAATTATTTACAGAGAGGGTCAGGGAGTCCGGAGCAAACTGCCTTATGTTCTTTGGGTTCAGAAATACCCATAGTCTTACTTACAGAAATATACATTTTTTAAAAAACATGCCAGTTGCACCAACAACGAAAGGATGGCGTTTCTATAAAATTAGCGAAATGTACTAGAAAACAAACATTACTATTTGTGTTTTGTTCTGGTCACCACCTCTACATTAGAAGCTGAAAGAAACAGCATAAGCAAAAAGAAAACAAATTATTTAGAATCTGCATAATGAAGGAGTATGTCTGCTCTCTAAAATCATGTCAGAAGTTTATTTAGCAATAGAGAGAATTAAAAAAAAAGGTTTCTGCAAATATTATTAATATATCTTTAGCAAATGTATACATTCAAAATTCATACCATTCATTTTTCTAATATATTGAATGCAGTAAGAACATAGCAAAACAAGTGCATTGCAAGTTAATGGCATAGAACACCTGCTGTATTAAATAGCCACTTGACAATTGAAAAATAATTTCACACTCTTTTACACTGGCTAAAAAGGAATAAAGATATCAAATACAGATTATACACTAATTGTAAAACTGAGTTTTCTTGATCTACGCTTTAAAAGTTCACTAATTAATACCATTAACCACAGTATTTGTAATTTACCTGGAAAATGCTGCTACATTATCAGCTAATGTTTCTTGCTCATCAGCTCCAGAAAAATAATAATCAAAAACAGCTTTAGGGAGAATAATTTTTGCCTGCTGCTCATAGTCACTGATGCAGACTGGCTTCTCTGACATTTCTTCGATTAGACAACAGATACAAACTGGAGCCTTTCAAAACTTTTTTACAAAGATGACAGTTCTATGAATTATTAACATTTGAGTTTGTTTTAAGGACTTTTTGAACTAATGTTTATTTCACAATCACCAGAGAACCACCTTCTTGCAACCAAAGATTGCTTAAGGGATTTTTTTCCCCAGTATATCAGGCTGCCTACTCATACTCTTTTTTCCACAGTAAATCAATATTGAAGGTTCAGTCTCAGACACTGTCATAAAGTTTTAACCAGACTTTGCTCAACAAAGTACTACAATAAAACACTTCTAAAATTTCTGCAAATGTCTGCAGAACATAAAACACAAAACCTTGTTTTGTGGCAGGCATATCAAAAGACACAATGTTTCAAAACCCCTTTTTATAGTTTATTTTATTGATTTTTCTGTGTTATGTTGTTGTTTAAAAGTAGGATATTAATAATTAATCATAATAGAACACCAGGGAGTTTAGAGTTTTACATGACTTTGTACACATTTCTTGGTAGCGAGGCAAACTCTGGGCTTTTTTACATCTCAGTACCTGATTTCTTGTATGTTTTCTAAAACCTGTGATAAAATGCTGGTGAAAACTGTGAGATTTGCAGAGTAGCCAGTGATAGCAAGGACTCTTTAAAATTGTAATTCAAAATGACTTTTAAAACATTCCTGTAAATTAATATTATTGAAGAAAATCTTATTGAAATTAGGATTTTATTCAGGATGATCCTGCTTCATTATAATGCAAGAATCTTTACAGATCAAGCTTCTTTAGTAGCTAATTAATCTAAGGATGTCCTCCAGCAGTTTCCCGAAAGAGACCAGTTTCAACAGCATAGCTTTATTCATATTCCCACAATAATTTGTTTAAAGTAATGCCTACACTTCTCAGTTTCAAAGTAGTCTCCACTTACAGTACATCGACTGGTAATTTTTCTCTTGTAATTGGAAGTCCATTGTGTCGACTTCATCTTCTTGTAGTCCTCTCTGTTCAAGAATACAAAGATTCAGTCCAATTAACCGAATAATATTTCTTACAACATTAGTGATACATTGTTTTTTAAGACTTGAATTTTATATACTTTCTAATGTGATCGTGTCTTCATTTTCCTTAAAGTACAGAATTTCACAAAAATGTCTCAGAACTTAATCTCAGAATTGTGTTGAGTGAACATGGCTGACATATTTCACATTAGAGTCCCACTGCACCTTATTGATACTGCTGTGGAAAATATTAATGAAAAATGTTCATTCAGTTCAACTTTATTGTCATTAAACTTACACAGGTGCATAGTATAATGAAAAGTGTTTCTTATTAGTCACTCAGGTGCAGTATATTAATAGGACAGAAGATAAGACAATAGACAGTAACACAATAGCAATAACAGTAACATGTAATAACATAACATAAATAACATGGATTTGTACTTTTTAACTTTTTTTAACTTAGTACTTTTCAACACTTTAAAAATGCCAAATAATTGAACGAACAGTAGGATCAAGTAATGTACTAGATTGTTATTAAGTGCACTGACAGTGAAGGCCACTGTATCTTATTACTTTGAAAGCCACTTAATGATTTTCAGTTGTAATAATGCTATAGCTCTCTATTATAAAATGTTGTAATGACATTTACCTTCATAACAATACATACATAAATATAAGCATACAGTATATGTATAAATATGCAGTGAATAACTTTATTTAAATTGTGAAAAAGACTTTCACCAATCAGAAAACAAAGTTACTGTATATTTAAAGGACTTGTGTATTATATTTACATACAGAACATGTACAGTATATACAGTACCTTTCAAATTTTGCACAGAATAGCAGCTGTGGTAACTAAGATCTGTGCCTTGTGTATATTAGCAGAGACTGTTGAATTAACTCTATGGCTGACTTATCAGGGAGATATACAGTATATTGTATTCTGTATGGTTGGGTGTCAGACTTGCAGTATGCAGCATCCCTTTTCAAGTCCCTCAAATTATTAAATTGTACTATTATTGGGAATATTTTCTAGTCCTTTGTGTACTTTTTTGTATGTTCTACATCAAGCACTGCAAACAAATACTTGCTTGTTAACATCCTTTTCAGAGAAAACATTTATAGCTGTGAAACACCAATGCTATGGTACTGTTGATAAGAGGTTTCTGAGGGGTTCTGCTGTAACACTTCAGCCAGTATTGTAAACAGGCAAAAAGCAGATGAGCCTCTGAGCTGATGTTATTTAAAGCACTTCTTGTGCCCTTGGTATGATTAAACACCATACTGTATATTATCTGTAACACACTTTGCAAAAATAAACTCAAATGTGTTGGAATGGACTATATTTTTGGACTATATTTTGAAAAAAAAAATAGTAAAACCAAATTACAGCTATATTTTCAGGCCTTAGAAACATTTAAAGTTTGAGGCTTTGTAGTGATAATGTGACATTATTTACAAGACAAGTGTCCATAAGTCACAAGTTGTCAAAAATAATTAGCTTTGAGTTGGAGCAGTGTGGAGGATGATTTTGAAGTTGACATATCTAAGGGCATTGTGAGATAGATTTGTTACACCAATTTGACAGAATTCATTTATCCTGCAGGTTTATAATAGAGAGGTGGGGGCCAGTTTAGTAATTTATGCGAAAGAACCTAACAGAGATCACAGAATTTCCCATAAGCTTATCAAAAAATAAATATTTACATCATTTCCCTGCCTTGCCTGAAATGATAAATAATTCACAAGGGATTCCATTTAAAAACATATTCTCTAAACATGTACGACTTGTTCCAGACCTAATTAGTAAATTTTATATGTTCCCTAGGCGATGCTGCTTTGTACTTCAGTACAAACATTGAGTTTCTGGGTCACTTCCCACTAGTGATTAACCGATACACATATTTTCCTTTTGTTTTTTAAAGTTTTGTTTGAAATGTAAATGGTCTCTTAAGTGATCTTTTATGAATATTATCCTAAATTTCATTAATCACATTAATTGTGTATTTAAGACATCTTCAATGACTAACAATTGCTTGTTTGTTTTACACACAACACCCTGCAAAGACACAGTGTAAATTGTAGAGAAACATGTCATTCTACAGTAACTAAAAACAATTAGCACTGTACACTTTTCATGTTATTTCATACTTTGCTTGCAATGGATAACCTCATAATAACAATATTTTCTTTACAGAGGTATGCAATCAATGAAGCAGATAGTGGCTATGTTGTTGATGTACTGTTTTTAGTATTTAAGGTAATTTCTAAAAAATATCAATATGAAAATATAACATTTGTGTAGTTTACTGGAGTACAGATCTGTAGAAGCTGGATCTATTCCAGGCAATGTTCTTCAGAATAGCTATAATCAAGACACTGAGATTTAACAGCTGTGCATATCCTTGTATGCATGATTTCCCAATGACTTCTAATGCTTTTCACCGGCACACTAGAAAGCATGAAAATTTCATTTTGCAGCTTCAGAAATGTATTCAATTTCTCTTCAAGGTGATAGTTAACCCTTCACTTTAGCTTCTCATCATAGCATTGTACTTTATTTTGGTTATTTTGGTGTTGTGGGTAATGCAGAAATCCCTAAAAATGCTAAGGATTAGGCAGGAGGCTAAACATTTAGAGAAGATTGAGGACAAACTCCTAAAGTGTCAGAGAAAAGTTGTGCTGCTGCCTTAGAAACGCATCTGTAAAAGCTAGTAGCCTTTAAACTCATCTACAGTATTAGCCCTGTAGGTAAATTACAGGCTGGGTGCATGTCAGTTTTTAGGATCAAATGATAGGGTATTTTGGGTGGCACAGTGGCACACTGGTTAGCATTGCTGAATCGCAGTGCCGAGGGCCCTAGGTTGAATACCCCGCTCTGGGGTGTTATCTGTATGTTCTCCTCATGTTAAGAGGGCCTGATACTTTCCAGTCCAATGAAAAACTGATAGGTTAAATGCCTTCTGTAAAATTTGGACCTCTTTTGAGTCTGTGTGTGTGTCTGTATGTACCATGGTGTCCCATCTAGTGTGTATCCCACCATACACCAGTCGCTTGCTGGGATAGGCTCTGGCAACCCTGAATTGCATGAATAAGCTTTTGAATAAAATGTACTGTTCTGTATGTGCACCAGAATATCAAAATAATTAATAAATGCAAAATGTCTTGGTAGACAAATCCATAACCATACAGCAAAAATAAAAACACGTTGTTGTTATCAAACAGGTGAAATACCATGAAAGTGGTGTCTCATTTTGGATTTTCAATCATATGATTAAAAATGTGTTAAAAAGCAGACCATTGAGAAAGAGCACATCTGGGCTAAGAATGGTTAGTTCTGTGAATTTAAAATAGAATGTTTTTTTTTATTTTTCTTAAACCTTAGTAATACCTTAAAAACAGTAAATTGTCTGCTGTGAAACAGAGTGTGATTTTTTTCTACCTTTTTGTAACTTAGTGTCAAGACAAATCTCACTCTTAATTAATGCCAACTAACAGGCAACAGGCTTTAAGTAACATCATTTGTTCTGGATAAGAAATGCACCACGCAGAACTGAAGAACAGGTCTTCAGAAGTTTAATGGGAATCTGTAAAATGTATGCAGTCATTTCATATGGATCTATTTTTTTAGAAATCTTGCAGCTTGAGTGAGTTATATCCAAATTACAATGAATCATTACTGCAAAGAACACTAGTAATTGATAGAAATCCAGCTTCATCCTACCTTCTGGGAATTTTACAGGAATATCTCTAAATTTAATTTATTTGTTACCTTTTAATGTTCTTATAGATCCAGGAGAGCTGTAACACCATTCTTCAGCAAAGCCTTCATCTTAGTGCTTTGAGGTGGTAAAATAATTTAGGGATTTTTCCAGCCAAATTATAAAACGAAACTGCTTCCAGAAATAAACATAGTTTTCCAAAAAAATATTTCAATGTCTTTGTAGGTAAAGCACCATTAATTCAGGCTTGCATTTGATATCAGCAAACCTTGTATGAAGTGCTCAGTATATTTTCTGACA